ATCGTCCTTGTCCTTGACGTTACTGTTGTCCTTGTCATTTCCGTTGTTGTTTCCTTGGCGTTACTGTTGCTATTCCCATCTTATTGCTATTGTATTATTGTTATTATTATTATTATTGTTATGATTATTATTATTGTTAGCATTTCTTTTTGATATTCATAGATATTCCCTTCAACAGACATAAAAGATGCTGTCCCCAAATGTACCTGAATTCGTTCCAAGAGGAATGCAACCTACAGGCCCAACTAGAGGATATGAGCGTACTTTTCCAGCTGCAGTTGAAAGGCACCACGCAAGCCAGAGCTCCATTCAAACAAACAGGGCAGAGAGAAGGGAGGAAGATGGACAGAGGAAACGAGTACATAATACCTCGTTAGTAGAACCAGATAGAAGAGATTTAAAAGAGTCCTTTGGTGGTAAGAAGGTGGGAAGCTCGAACAGAGGCAGGCATGGGTCATACAGTTCTTACTCAAGAGATAAAGACAGTCTTCGAAGCTATGACAACTGGAGGCAGAGAGCGGATGAGAATCCATCTGACAGACAGGGTTCTTATTTCAAAAGCACAAGGAGACCCACCAAAGATGAGCCAGAAGGAGACAGCAATAAAAGCAGGGGTCAGCATGGAAAGCAGCGTCCCTGGAGACAGAAAGGTGAAAGTCAAGAAAGGGAGAATGTCCTGAATAAAGAAGGAAAGAAGGCTGCAGGGAGAGGAAAGAACATAGCCTTAGGGCCAACCCCTGCCACAGTGACCCAGTCCCCTTCGTATCGCAAACCAGGTGTCAGTTATGGCAAAATCCTTACTGGTGATTTTGCTTGGGGTGGAAAGGCTGCACCGGTTGGAGATGGACATAATCACCGGAGAAACTCTAATGACTTGGGCCTGACCTCAAATGCCCAGCAAGAGCAATGGCCGTCCCTCCCAGGTTTCCATACCAAGACACTGGCAAAGGGAGAGAGGGTAGAGGCCGAAAGTCCCAAAGGTAGAGTGTATTCTCTTGCACAGGAAGGAGCTATGGTAGACAGCATGAAAGATCCAAATACAAAAGAGAGTAATAAAAGTTGGAAGGAGGGAGGAGAAGCAACCAGGGGAGAAAAGGAAGAATTGTCAAAGGGAAAATCGACAACTTGTTATGAGAAAAAAGTTAGTGAAAAGGGAGACAAGAGACAATCAGAAAATGCTACTGGCTGTGAGATTAGAAGAAATGAGAATACATTAAAGGAGGGTCATACGGGCCAAAGACAGGATTCACTGGATATAAAGCCAGTTCCTAGAGAAGGAGAGAAAAAATATAGAAACAGATCTCCAAAAGGAAAAGACACAGATAACAAACAGTCTGCAGAAAAGGAAGGAGATGGGAACTTTGAATGGCAGGTTAAAAGAGATCGTCGGAAACAAGTGAAAACTCAGGAAGAGACAACAAAGTTGAGTGTTTTAGTGCAACAGCAGAAAGGAGAGAAAAATAGGAAAGGCAAAGCTGATGTCAACCCTAGTTTTGCAAAGGGGAAAGCAGTATCTAAGAGTGAAACCAAGTCAACAAATAAACACACTATGAAAAATAAACCTCTTGCAGTTGCATCATCGGCTGACAAACTTAGCTGGAAAATGAAGCAAAATTCTCCAGGGCAACAAGATCAGTCAGCAAAGGAAAGAACTGGTTCTTTGTCACTTCCTGATAAAGCTTCTGCCAAGAGTAAAAGTTCTGTGCCAGTAGATGCTAAGAAGGCCATCGCTTCAGAAGAAAAGTCATCAAAGCTGAAAGCAAAGAAACTTAAAAAGAAGGAAGAGAAGATGAAAATAAGAGAGCAACAGATCCGGAAAGCTCAGGAGATGATGAAGAAAGACTCAAAGCTTTCCATGATAACAAAGGCCTTCTTAGAATCAGCCGCCTATACTGGCAGTGGTGGACAGACGTCAATAATGGAAAAAACAGCTGGCCAGGGCCTCTTGGAGAATTTCCCCAGTTTGGGTGAACAGAGGTCAAATAATGTAAAAAGAAATGACAAAGGTAATGCAGCCCCTCCTGTTACTAGTAAAAGTGGTTCTCATGAGCAGAGGAAGAAACCGAAAGACCCATCAGTTCCTCCAGCAAACCAAGCCAGTGGTAACAGGGCAGCCAGTGGAAGTGCGACAACCACTTCTGTTTCAAGCTACTCTGGGGTGCTCTTAGCCTCTCCCAGGAGAGTAGTAGAATCTCAGTCTCAAGCTGCAGACGAGAGCCAGGGCGAGGCAAAGAATGTGGTTGCACAGAAGAAAAAGGTGAAAACTAAGGACCGCATTGAACTGGACCTCATGTTTGCAGCACTTGAGTCCAAGAAGAGAAAAGAAAAGGAGCTTTCTGATAAAGTCCTCATGATGGAGTTGCATGTGAGTATTTTGATTTGTGAACTCATTATTTTATTCATATATGTATGTATATATGTGTATATATATATATATATATATATATATATATATATATATATATATATATATATATATATATATATATATATATATATAATAATATATATATATATATTATATATATATATATATTATATATATATTATATATATATATATATATATATATATATATATTATATATTATATATATATATCTATATATTATTATATATATATATATATATATATATATATATATATATATATATATAATATATATATAAATATATAATATATATATATATATATATATATATATATATATATATTTATATATATACTATTTTTTTTATGAATATATGAATATATTTGGATTTAAATGGACTATGTGATAGGTTTCCATAATTCACAATTTACTTTACTCTTCTTTTTTTGGATGTATTTTCTTTTATTGATTGTTTTGTTATACAGCCTGGATTGGAGAAGCCCAAGAGAGGTATGGAAACTCATACAGTTGTCAAAGGCTCGAAAAATGCCTTTGCTGGTCATCTCAGAGCCAAGGTAAATACTACAAATATGTTATTGTCTAATATCTAGTCAAGTTTCTTTGATCATATTCACATTTTCCCTTAAGAACATGCAGTGATAATCATCATGGTCCAAAATATTTCTAATCTATTATGTCTTCAAAGATCTCATGTGGGGGTTTTACTTTAGTGAATTTAACAATGGATCAGATGTATTTGAAAAAAGTCACTTTCCACTCACTTCAGTCAACGTTATGACACATGCCCAATGTAGCTAAAGTATGAGACTACCCACTCACCATTCCACCAAGCAGACAAACACACATGCACACCAACGCGTATATCTGCACACATATATACACCAACTAACACATATATGCATACATCTAGGCTATACATGCATGCATATAAGTACATGCACCCAAAAGCACACACACATACTCATGTGCATGTGCACACATGTGCACACACACACCTACACCCACACCCCATTCCACATGTGATGGATAGAAAACAAAAGTGAGAAAAAGAAAGAATAAAGAATAATTCCCACAGGCTAAAGGCACTGCCCCAGCGACAACGCTTTTCCGAGGCTTCCAGCGCGAAGGGAGGGAGCATAAGTACCTGTCACCGCTCAAGAAACGGATGAAGAAAGCCCGACTGCAGGAAGCTGAGACGTTGCTGGCCATTGTTAGAGGTTGGTTGCTGTAAATTTGTTTTTGGCTTTGGGTGCAGTTAGGAAGTTAAAAGCAAGTTGTTTAACCCAATGCTCCCAGGAAAATGTATTCACTTTAATATTGTTTTATTAACTGCCTGCAGGTGCTTAGCCACAAAGTAGTCAGCTGATTTCACCATTTCTTGAGTTTGTGGGAAAATTCTTTTTTTTAACTAATATTATCAGTATTAACAGTTATTTTCATTATAAACATCATAATTACTATAATCTTACTGACATTATTAACAGCAGTATTAAATACCAGATAATATTTTCAAAAATCAAAAAAGGGTAAATGGGTAGGAAAAGGGTAAATGGGTAGGGCAGGGAGATCTCGCAACAGGCTCATTGGTGACTTAGTACCTGTGGAGCCACCTATATGTAAAAGCAATTGATAATTTAAACTCACGTAGCCATGGCATGTACGAGCATTCGGTTAACTTTCAGTTTCCTATATTGTATACTCTAATTATTCATTTTCATTCATAGTCTTTTCGCAATTTGTCACTGACATTCGTATGTAATGCAGAATTTTTGCCAGACATTCACTAAATCCAAACAATAACATAAAAGAAAAGAAGAAATTTAGTCAAGGTTAGGAAGGCAATTTTGGATCTTTGATTTTTGTAGGACAAGGATTTACAACCAGAAAATGGAAATCTTATGCTGATATACTCATAGTTAATAGTATTATTGAATTGATATTGAATTGATAATAGGGAAGGGAGTAATTGGAGAATAGGCTTCTTTGTGTCGTGTGGGGACATTACGAGAACTTGATACTTTTTATCAGAATAAGTTCTTTCAAATGAAAAAACAAATAACCAAAACAATGCCAGGAGGTGCATAAATGATAGGTTCAGATGAATAATGGGATATTAAGGATGTAGGGGACTGAAAGCATTTGTGGGAGGTAGGCATATGTTATAAGAATTTAACAGGTGATTTGAGGCACTTGTTTGATTGTCTTATGGAAATGAAAGACTAGAAAGGGATAGGGGAATAGGATTTGAATACGAGAGGGGGTGTTGCCAAAAGAAAATTATCAAACGGTGTCAGAATTACTTCCTCACTCTCTCTACCTTTCCTTGACAGTGAATAAAATGTGTGAAAATAGCCCATCAGTTTTTCAGAGGCTGTGTTCAATTGATCCAGATTGAATATCAAAAGTCTAAACACACCTCCTCGGACTGTAGGAATTTATTTAAATGTTTTTATTTAATTTTAGCCCTGTGGTGTCGGGAAAAAATGCATGGGCATTTGTTGCTATGCTGGGAATGATTTTACGATCACCCACGCAAATGAGAAATTAGATTCTGGACAAGTAGATTATTGTTTTTCTATAGCAGCATTGACAGAGGACTTTGGAAGGCTGTAGCATGAGAATTAGCACCATTGGAGCTATAAAACCTCACATCTGTATAGGAAACAGCAAAGATCAGGGACGGTATTCATATAATATTTTTGACAAATTGAAGGACTCTCCTGACTCTGAAATTGTTGTAGAATTTGTCTGTCACTCGTTTTAAAAGCTGTCCTTAGCAATTTCATCTTTAACCCACTTGCGAGAGTACATTTGGAGGGCGATAATCCCCATTTTCTGGTGGTATCAAAATGGGTGTGCGGGCCAGTGCGGGAACCTGCATGCGTGCCACCTGCCTCAGGCAACAAAATCAGAGTGCAAGCTCTGATCTACATACATAGATGTGAACTATTTTTTATTAATCATATTATTTAAATATGTCTCCTGACTTTCCAGAAGCGAAAAAAGCCCAGGAGAGGCTGATCCAGGAATCCCTCGCTCAGTCGACTGAGACCAGTGTGGAAGATGAGGGGAGGAGCCTGTCTAAGTCACCGCAGTTGTTACCATCCTCCTCCCCAGCAATCCCGAAAGATAGCGATGATATAAATGAGAAAAGAGATTCGAATGATGCTAATGGGTGTGACGGGGAAGGTGGTTCTAATGCTCTTGCAGGAGAGGAACAACTCAAGATTGATTCACTGAATGGAAGTGAAGGAGCACAGTCTACTGCAAAGTTGAGTGTGGATGGAACGGAGGAGTCAGCTGTGGCAGTTGCTGAGCCCCAAAACATGAATTTGGAGACCGAGGAAACGGAGACCAAGAATCTCAGGGTATCTCAGACGCAACAAGACCAGAGACTGAAAAGGACGCAAAAAATACGGAAGGAGAAAGTACATCCAATAAGAAAACAATAAACACAACAACAACAGTAACAGACAAAGACATCAAAAAAGTCATTAAGGACATCCACACCATTGATGTCTCTCCGGCAAGAGTGGGAGGCCTCCTGGCCAACCTTGACGATCCTGAGCTGGCCAAGAGGTGCTCTGAACTTGCCCAGGAAATCAAGATCATGGCCCACCCTGTACACAAGATGTCCTTTAGGGAGTGAGTGTTTTTTTTTTTTTTTTTTTTTTAAAGAGGTAGAGGGAGGAGTGTTCTTTCATTTATCTATTCTTTATATTATTTGTTTTTCTTGTTTTTTTTCTGTAAGGCATTGATTCTCTGAATGGCTTTTCATTTCATTTTTCATTTTTCTTCTGTGCTCCTTATCTTCTATTTTTCTTTTTCTCTTTGTTTTCATGTATTTTCTTCTGGTGTATATATTCATATTTGTATATATATTTATTTGTGTGTTTGGACATTATACTGTAATATTAATCATAATGATTAGGCTAAGAAAAATGGTAGTAACAGTAGTAATAGTAATAGATTTTTATGATTAATTTTGAAATTATTTATTTGTTTTTCATTTTATTTCCCTTTATTTCTCTATTTGTTTCCTAATGAGAACTTCGGTTGCTCTCTTTCATTCCAGATACTGTGACCATATGATCACCCCAGAAGTGGACTCGGCAGTCAAGACCCTGGTGACGATGCTGGTGAAGTTTCAGGAACGGCAGTATCAGCGCGATCCCATAAAGGCCAAAATCAGGTGAGTAGGTGTGCGATGGAATTCAGTAGACTATGTGTTTTAATATTTTCTTCTGTTCTGGATGAGAGGGGATGTGGGGAGGTGTGTAGTGCAATTCTGATTTTTTTTTATTACTTTTTCATTTTATGTATTTTTCAGCCTGTTAATTATATCTATTTTCTTATTTGTGTGTTGCATATTTGATTATTTGTCACTGTAGTTATTATCTATTTATTTAAATGCACGTATGTGTTATTTGATGTATGTTTCTTTTAGTGTATTCAGGTTTGCTGGTACCAGACTGGAAACGTTCTTACACATGCAGGCAAGTTATTCTAAAAAACCATAACTTGCGCAGTTGAATTTTCATTTTGTTCAGAAATGAGCGGTTCATTGTTGCACGACTGTTGCTTTGCTTTATGTAACGTTAGTGATGGACAATACATTATTTTTACCACATGCCACTGGGGATGCCATGGGCGTACATTACATGCCCACTATGTGTTTAATTTAGTAATTGTTTTCACACATAGTTGGCTGCACAAGTACTCTGTAACCAATAAGACAATTATGAAAACTACCTGTCTCACCTGTTTCCCCTTTTTCTTGATTTTTGATAGTATTTTCTGGTGTTTAATATTGCTCTTAGTAATGTCAATAATGCTATAGTAATTATGATGTTTATGATAAGAATAACAGTATCAATATTGATAGCATTAGTAAAAATAAGTGTTTTTCTTGCAAACTCAAGGAAAGGTGAAATCAGCTGAAGTCACAAAGTCTACTAATTAACTCCTTTGTGGCTAAGCACTGGTAGAGCCACCTATCTGCAGAGACATTTCACAAAATAGAACTATAGTGGACAGAACATTTTCCTGGGGGTATTGGGTGAAAGGGAGTTGTCATTGATAGCACAACCTAGTATTGGGGTGAAAGG